GAGAAAGAATGAGAGAAAGAGAGAGAAAGAATGAGAGAAAGAGAGAGAAAGAATGAGAGAAAGAGAGAAAGAGTGAGAGAGAGAAAGAGAGAGAAAGTGAGAGAGAAAGTGAGAGAGAAAGTGAGAGAGAAAGAGAGAGAGAGAAAGAAAGAGAGAGAGAAAGAGAGAGAGAGAAAGAAAGAGAGAAAGAGAGAGAGAATGAGCGAGAGACAGAAAGAGAGAGAGTGAAAGAGAGAAAGAGAAAGACAGAGAAAGGGCGAGTGAGAAAGAGACAGGAAGAGAGAGACAGAAAGAGAGAGACAGAAAGAGAGAGACAGAAAGAGAGAGGCAGAAAGAGAGAGACAGAAAGAGTGAGACAGAAAGAGAGACAGAAAGAGAGACAGAAAGAGAGAGAAAGAGAGAGAAAGAGAGAGAAAGAGAGAAAGATCGAGTGAGAGAGAGAAAGGGAAAAAAGAGAAAAAGAAAGAGAGAAAGAGAAAAAGAGAGAGAGAGAGGGAGAGGGAGAGAGAGGGAGAGAGAGGGAGAGAGAGACTCAGACAAGGGAAACGATATAGATGATTGTATTGGTGTGAATCAGGGATGCAATGTCTGGTCACTTTGTACAAAGGAAGAGTGGAAAGACTCAACCATCGGGAACGAAGCCTGGGATGTGTGTTAATTATTTAGTCTCCGCCACCGACGACTCACCTGCCTATTACGGTTACGCCAGGCGGACGAAGTAGAAATCTGAAGCAAAGGAAGACCTCAGATAGATGAAAACTGTTTGGCTTCCACATAAAATGTTCACATTCCCACCACCTGTACATTTATTTAGTATCATTGGAGTTGTAACTGCAATGACACTGCATTAAGAAATTGATTGTAGTAAAAAATATATGGAAAAGCACATTGGTTAAATGAATACAACTGATTCAATAAATGATTCATACAATTAATTGAGTATCATTAACACACTGTATCGTAAAAGCTTTGAATTATTCCAATAATATTAATATGAAAATCACAGCACATCTACTTTGCCCTTTCGAATGCTTCTTTTTAGAACGGTTTGTCATTATTGAACTGGACGATAATGGAAAGTTTATTATGATACAGTTTCAGAGCATGTTCTTGGAACCATCCATTTTTTTCACTTTATTTCCGCATGTTGTTCTCAAAAATAAAATAAATATCACACAAAATATTGCATTGGTTTTCTTTCGAGTGTTGTTTATATTTCATGCTCGTCAATATTTACCATAACTCATACAAATATTTATATTTCATATTTACCTGTTTGAAAATTCTGGGTAAATCTACATGTGGTTACATCTGCTTCTATACCTACGCATCATTTTACGACAAAAATATATTATTGCTTGTAGCTCAGTGTTGTTGGAATTATATAGAACTGCGTTATCACGTTCATAATACATTATTATTAGGAACAAAACATTTCGAATCCTCAATCTCGTGAATCATGAAAATTACTGGAAGTAAAAATCGTCAATCTATTTTTTTCTCCAACAGAACCTTTGTATCATTCTTGCAAAAGTTATATTCTATATTTCACCTCTGCCTCAATTTACCACAAAAATGTTATATTTTAAGGCTTAATTTCAGTTATACTTTTATACCGTAATCATGGAGAATCATTAAAAAATTATCCAATTCATCTTGATTGAAGTAAAAGATCGAGAAATTCGAAGAAAACTAATACATATCAGCAATCGGAAAAGTTTATCATCGGCGCAAGTTCGTTTCTATAAGTGCTTCTGTCTTGATCAATCAGCTACAAAACAACGCACCAAAAATTACATGAAAGTCAAAGCGAAACACGGAACTTGCTGATTCGTTCACTCCAAGTAAGTTCCACGTATCGTGCGATACTTTATGGTACTTTTCACCTCATTTTTCTGAAAAGAAAGGGGGGAAAACTGTGTGCAATAACCGCCAAAAAAGTGCAGCAATAATACTAGTTCCAAGCGGAAAACCTCTGCTCTTACTGGAACCTCTGGGAAAATTTATCTCGCTGGCAATTGGCAATTCTACGAGGCGAATGGCGCGGCGGCGTTCGCCGCAACTACTCCCTCTCCTCCCCCCCCTTCCTCGCTCATTTGAATTGAATATGGCGGCGTCTACGCGCCGGCACTAGCGCTCGTTCATCACTGCCATCTGGACGCTGCGGAGGCCCTCGCCGCGACACGGGCAGCCTCGCCGGCGGCGGAGATGGCGCAGGTGATGGATACGATTGGGGAAACAGAGAGGCCGAGAACTGGCGGTGAAGAATGCGAGTGAGTTGGTGGACTGGAAACGGTGATGGAGTTGTGTGGTGCTGTGAGGAAGGGCCAGGAACCGGGAGGTGTATCACGAAAGAAGAATTGGCCCATCATCTCAGTGTTTCCAGAAATCTTTGGAGAATAATACATTGTTAAACACATATTTTAGTGAACCATTTTCCCTTTTGGTCAACGCTTTTGAGACTGATCGTGATGAGGACAAATCTAGAATGCCTGGTACGTGGATTTTTTTAGTTATGCACTTCTATGTTTCCAAAATAAAATACGAAAATCGTGAATATGTGGTTGTATACGCAGAAAGGTATTTATCCTAGTTTTACAACTCAGTTGATTATAGAGGACCGTTAAAGATAAATCGTGCGTATATGAAATTTGGAGAACTTCTGCAGTAGGGGGGAAGTGGTGATGCCAGCAGCCAACAGCGGTAACAGCAGTCATGGCACAAGACTAATGATCTCAAGTCACGCATATCTGAGGAACATGAAACGATAATTACTCTGATAATGGAAACGAGAGTAAGGAGGTCGAAGGCATCCAAGGGAGGATAGTGTAACGTATTAGCCAGCGTGCCTCATGGCATCTATTTGGGGACGCTTGGGAAAGGATTAGCCTAGCCACAGGAAGTAGGGTTTTTCCGTAAAGGGAAGAACGCGGAAACGGGAGACACAAGGCTTTGGGAGTTTCCGGCTTATAGAAGCTTTTCACTGTTATAACAAGCGAGGGGGTGGCGTGACGTAGTAGGTCACGTGAGCCTCGCCTATATAACAGGGTGTACAGAGCCAGTGGGTGGGTTCTGGAGACAGCGGGAGAACCTCGTGCGTGTGCACAAAACTTGGCGCCACGACGGTGCATATGCGAGCCAGGCTCGCGAGGCTCGAGTCATTAGTTGACGAAGCCTGCGGACTTTATGTCATTGGGTGACTGCGGTCACGGGGGAGCGATGCTGTGTGCGTGCTCCGAGGTGAAGAGTGGTTGAGTGCCACGATTCACGCCGATTCTCAATCGGATAAGATCGCTCCTGCGATCGAGGCAAACCAGCCGTTGGTGCGCCAGAACGGACTTTGTGTCCCAGCGTGACATCCGGTCACGGAAGCTAGGCTTTGTGCGCGCTTCAAAAGTAGGAGTGGCGAATGCCACAACCAAAACCATCTTCAATCGGGTTTGGATCGCTCCCGCGATCAGGGGATAGTAGGTCTATCAGAGCTAGGGTGTAAGTAGATTATTAAGTGTATATATTTGTTTTGTTTTATTTGTTAATAAATATATTTGTTATATGAAAGCTCTGTGTCTGTGGTCGCTGTGAGTATCCATGACGTCACAATAGCATTATCGGCACAACAGCACCCGGCCAGCTAATAGAGAAAAGAGGCGTTTGTAATGTGGCCCGGCGACCATCGAGTGCAGACTCATTGATATTCCGTCTAGATCACTGTGAAATCACGTCGGACGTCGTACCCTGCTGCAGCGAAAACACCCGCCCCTTCCCGGGCCCATTACCCAACCGCCGCCCCGGCGGGCGCAGAAAATTCTGGGATTCAATCTCGCGATTGCAAAAAAGGCCTCACCAAAGTGGAGTAGAGAGGAGCGAGAACGAGTCGGAGAAGCGAATGATGCTCGCGCGCTGCGGCCGTGATGATGTTTTGATTTCTATCGCACGACAAAAAATCAGAACCGCCGACACACGAGAAAGCACAAAGAAAAGAGAAATGGTTCGAGGCGTACGTTGATACAACTGAGATACTATGAAGATACTGAGTGAGTAATATTCACCCCTCTAATAATATACTTTTATCTTGTTGTGTGTGAAAGCTAAACATTTGTGTTCGCAAAGATAGCAACTAGATATTTACTAAAATATACGTTTTTGATTTCCTCGACGATACAGGCATTGAACCGAGCACAAATATTTAGGAATCCTTTAAAAGGTATGGTTTGACCAAGCCAGATCTGAAGAGTACAGTTTCCTATTTTAGTTCCAAAAGAATAGTAATGGATTTTTTAAACAACAGGAGTTTCAAAATATCACTCTACATTATATACTGGATATAAAAGAAGAATGACAGACTACCTCTTGGTATCACCAATAAATGTCCAAATGTATGCCCTAAAACTCTGAAAGTTGATGTGGAAAGTCACAATCAGCAACGTTCTGTTCCTTCTGACACATTAAAAACCTGAATATATAAGGATCCATTGCCCTCCATTATAAATTAGCTCACTTGAAATATTTCTCAAAGTATTTTTTTTCTACAATTTCCGGAAATGCATTTTATAGCTGTTTAATTTTGATTCCTCTTCAACATAAACTCCAATTAGGTGGACAGAAATCAGAACATCGAACATTTTAACCCTAGTTACTGTAATATGAAGTTGCAGTGTGGCCATGTTCGGAGCCTATTCGTTAGAGAACAGGATGTACTTCCAGATATATCGCAGACTAGGAATTCTGCCCAACTGCACAACTAACCTGAACACGGTCGAAGCAAGCAGCGGAAGACAAGCTAAACCGCGGTGAACGGGGAACCGCTGCGAGCACAAAGCTGCACATTGGGTCGAAATAGACCCAATAGAGTACACAACACATCACTTTTTTCATTAAAAAATATTGGTTTATTCCTTGAAGCTACTCTACTCTTAGTATATTTTTTCACGTCCATTTATACTATTACATTCTTACGATATTTTTTGGTGTACTTTTCTCACAAAATGACAATACTCCAACAATAAATTTTAAAAAATCTCATTTTTTCTCGTCCATTTGTACTATTATAGTCTTGCAATTTTATTTTTTAGATTTCTCACAAAATAATAATACTCCGACAAGAAATCAAAGAAAACTCCAATACAGTATGAAACTAAGAAACTAGTTTTTAAAATTCACATATTTGAGAGTTCTATTGATATAAAAACGAGTGGCACATTATAAAAGTTTGTTGTAAATGATAATTTCATAACGAAACAGTTGTTACGATTGGTTTTATTTAACCGATGTGATAAAAAGATAAATCAGATGTCACTATTTTTACCGAAGAGATAAGACAATATATACAAGATTAAAAAGATAGGATAAAAGTTAGGAGAGTTTTTAAAAGGCTAATACAATTTCAAATCTTTTTGATAGGTAAATAGGGACTACAAAACCACGAAAACATGCGCAACTGGCAAAGATAAAAAAGATAGAAAAATATAAGGGTTTCTTTACATGGTAATATAACTTCAAAACCTTTCGATGGGTCAGTAGCTGCTAGGAAACCACGAAAACTTGCGCAACTGGCAAAGATGGAATAAGACCAGGGTTTCTTTACAGAGTAATACAATTTGAAATCTTTTTGATGAGTGGCATGGAAACCACGAAAACACGCGGCGCCGTCGCGTTGCGAAGTGTTCGGGCGCACTGCGGCGCGGGTCCGTCGACTCTCATCGGCGCGACGGCAGCGCCGAGCGCGTGAAACGACCAGCGACAAGCGCCACCGCAGCCCCGTCGCCCACTTCGCTGCCCCGAACAAGCGCCCGCGCCCACGCCCGCGCCCGCGCCCGCCGGGGATTTGGGCGGTGCTGCCCCGCAACACGGCGCCCCTGCCAGCTCCCCTCTCCCCCCCGGGCCCCCCACCGAATCACCTGACGCCCATCCCCACCCCGTATTTGGGAGGAGGAGAGAGCGACGTTGCTCGTATAAAGGTGAAAATTCAGCAAGCCACAACTAAACTTATTCAATTACGACCCTTACTGAATCTACGCAGTCAACTCTCCAAATCTAATGCCCCATTACTCTACAAAACAATAATCTGGCCCACATTAATCGATGCTTGTCCCATCTGGACCAATGCTGCCAATACCAACCTAAACAAAATACAAGTTGTCCAAAATACATTTTTAGGATTAATTACAAAAGCACCATGTTTCATCAGTAACAACAAATTGCATAATGATTTAAATATGAACACAATAAAAAACCAATTGCCTATCTCGCACACAACTTTTACACTAACCTTCCCCTAATTCAAGCACCATTATATAAACTAAGCAAAACCTGCAATTATCAAGCGAGAATTTAAATAGATATTCCCTCTATTCATTTCATAAAATGTTCGCAAACTTGGAATAATATGTATTTGAGGTGCCTCTTGCTTCCTCTCCCAGTATATTTTTTATTTTATTTTTATATAATTGTAATGTATAATTTTAAGTTAGTGTAAGATGTATTAAGATCATCAAAAATTTGCACAGTTCATATGTAAAATGAACAATGTAATGCCTACCAAAAATAAAATTACAACAATAAAAAATAGTGATGTTGCTCAAAAGGAAACTGAATTACATGAAGGGGAATCATGATTCGCGTACGAATCGTATCGTTGTATTTTATATCCTGCTACAAAACCCTTTTTTTTAATCGTACGCGATAATTAATTTTGCTGTTTGTTGCGATATTCGAGATTTTATCTACGGCATGGCAGTTAATCATTCTAAAATTTTTGACTCCAGTTTTAACTAATTTTAGAATTTTCCAGAGTAACAATGACAATGACAATGTGACAATGACATGTGACAATGACATGTGACAATGAATGTGAATCACTTGATGCAAACAAATATTCCTTTACTTAGTTTAACTTTTGGATATCATAATACGTTGAAGAAACCTTCCCGCAAGTGACTAGATATCCTCCGCCAGGTTCCAAACGCTGCCGGAAATCCCAGCCAAATCGCAGCGGCAGGCAGAACAGAACATGCCGGCAGAGTGGGGTGGGGTGGGGGGAGGGCGCTCAGGATAATTCCCATCTAACAACAGCCGTCCTCTGGACCGTGTATGAAATCCCGATCGCGTTTCAAGTAGGATTGTTTTCCGTTCTGATTACAGCGCGCCATAATGGCGGATGTATGTTTTCCATTCGCTGATCACACTCGTAATGCTAGTGTTCGAATGGCAAAATCCGTGGATTTGTGGATTTTGAGTGTCTTTTCCCTTTTCGCGTTTAAACGTGCTTACTAATAGCATTTGGGGGTCATTAACTAAATAGGATTTATGAAAATGAAAAGTATTGATAAAAAATAACTGATGGAACTTTAAGCGATAATTTTATTTTTCCGAATTTAGTTAGGTGCATGGTAATTCTAACCATATCAAT